ACGACCAGTTTGCGGCCTTTGATCAAAAGCAGCTGAAGCGCAACGAGCGCGAGAGGAGGCGTAATCAGGGCGCCAAGGAGCTCGTGCTGCGACCTGCCGACTTGAATCGCCTGAAGGAAAAGTGCAAGTTCGTGAGCTTCCATGACAAGCTGCAGGCGATTGAGCAGGCCGAGACGGAGCATCGGAAGCAATTGCAGCTGGTGAAGGAAACCAAGCAGCGCTTCAAGCAGATCGACGACGCTCGCAAGGCGGGGGCGGTTGCCGGCGAGAGTGAAAGAGAGAGTAGCGTCGACGAGGCCCTGGAGGAGCAAAATACTGTACTCAGTCGAGCCATTCTGGCCAAGCAGGAGCAGGAGGAGGAGGTGAAGCAAGTCAACCGCATGATTCTCGACGCCAAGTGCAAGGCTGTGCGGGAGGCCCAGATCCAAGAGAAGCAGCTAATGGCCAAGGCCCTACGCGAAGACGACGAGCGCCTCGCCAAGATGGAAAACGAGCGGGCGAAGGAGGCCCTCAATGCTGAAGATGAGCGGGAGCGCCTCGAAATCGAAAAGCGCGCAAAGTACGCACAGGAAATTCGTCAACAGCTGAGCGAGCGCGAAAACAAACGCTTCCTGGAGGCCCAGCGGATGGCGGATGAAGCCAAGCAGCTGCGCAAGGCGACCGAGCTGCTGCGGGAGGAGGAGGAGCGCCAGCGGAACTTTGTACAGCTGCGCAAGGTGCGTTTCCGTGAGGAGCTACAGCGAATTCGCGACATGTCGAATGTGTTCAAGACCATGCTTAGGGAGCAGGAGCGGCTGGCAGACCTGCGAGTGGCTGCCTACATGCGCGAGAAGCAGGAGAAGGAGCGCCAGCTCAAGGAGATGCAGAAGGCAATGAAGAAGCAGTTCGAGAGACGACAGCAACGCATCTACACAATCGCCACTGAGGCCCAGGAATCGCGCCAGACCAATGAGGAGCTTAAGTATCTCAGGGAACGCAATCGAGTGGAGCGCGAGTATCGCCAGCGGGAGAAGGAGATGGCAATGGCCAAGCGCGAGGCCGAACGCGACTTGCTTCAGAGTCGGGCCCAACAGGCGCAAGAAATGAAGCAGCGCCTCGCCCAAGAGATTGCCCACGCCGAGGAGGACTTCAACAAGCTGTTGACTCGCATGCGCGACGAGGAGGAGAAGCAGAAGAGGCTAGACCAGGAGCGCGAGCAGCGCACCCAAGCATATCGGAGGGATCTGAAGCAACAGATGACCGACAGGCAGGAGGAGCGACGTCGCCTGACGGAAATCGAGCACGAGCGCATGCAGAAGTGGATGGAGCAGGAGCGCCAAAGGGATGCCAACATCAAGCAGGTGATCACCTCTAAAATTGCATCCATGCGCGACAACTGCCTGCCCGAGAAGTACCTGCAGGATGTGGAGAAGCAGCTCAAAAAGATCCAAAGCAGTCGCAATCGCATTCGTTGAGCTCCCAAATCGACCGACTGCCCAAAGCCAGCTCACGGGACGAGCTTCCAGTGCATAGCTTTTGGCGGACATTTGCGGTGATCAATGGAAATCGACATATCGAACCCCTCCTATAACTATGCAATGCGAGTTTTCAAATGAAATGTAAGTTTAATTATATTAAGATGACCTTTTTGTGAAAGACATGTACTTTTCATCCTCATCCTCATCCATTCATTACGAAATTGATAATAAAGATAAAAGAGAATATTCAAATGAAAGCAGTGTAACGAAGGCTTTGATTTTATGTTCCAAACAATACCTTTTTACGACTCCAATAATATTTGACCATTAGAATGATTGCACATTAGCTTACAAAATTGTTTTGGAAGTTAAGCCACTTGAATATGATGAGAGGCTTAGTTTATTACTCCACATCAATTTTATTGTAATGAAATGGAATCAACTCAACACTGATTGATAACAATAAGAGAAATAATATTAATAAGCACATCATAATATGAATAATAAAACAATAATAATAATAATAATAATAATAAATAAAAACAAAATAAATACAAAATAAATCTAATTAAATAATTAAAAAAAAAAAAAAAATAAATTTAAAAAATTACAAATATAATAAATAATAATAAACAATAAATATTTGTATAGATTTTTAGTTTTGAGTTGACTTAAGTTTGACAAAACATATTATAATAAATAAATCATAAAACCAAACCTCTTTTTGTATTCCAGAGAACAGCAACTCAACCGTAAATACAATACATTAGTACAAATTATATTACAAGTTTAATAATGGTCGGGGCCTTAACATTATAATTTATACAATATACTTATATATATTTCATATCTTTAAATATCTGCTTGGATCCGATTTAAGAAAAAATTGTTTTGTGAATTTGTAGCTTGTGCCAGGTGTGGCCCTCGATCGAAATCCAAGTGCAGATTGACATTGGATGTGCTCTTTGTAGCAATTCTTGGTCTGTTGCGCCGTCGTACGATTCGAAGCGCACATGTGGAAGGAAAGTTGTCGAAATGGCAGCCCCGCCCAAAAGTATACTACACAATTCCGGATACCCGCAAGCCGCAGCTCAAATTAGTGGAGCCGAAATCAAAGGCACTGACGATAACCATGACATTGTTGCGTGCGACACAGTTAAACACTCTAAGATCCCGGCAAGACATGCCCAAGACATCCCATTCCCGCGCACAGTCCGCTAATTTCTTAGCGTGTGGGTGTTTAGTTTGCCATTCTCTCAATGCATTCAATGGCTCCCGGAGGCAGGCACACGCACACATGCACACACACACAACAATTACGAGAGCTACAGATGGCAAAAACTACGCCGCATTCCCCCTCTCCTATCCGTGAATGAGTGGTAGCAACTTTTGGTTACAATAAAATTTTATTATGCCAGACACATACGTGGCACACACAGCCACACACCAACACACCCACACACATATACAGAGAGAGGGGCAAACAAAGCAGCCACCGATGCTGAAAGTTGAAGATGGCTCCTCCACTGCCTGACGACGATGAAGTCTTGTGCATGGTTCAATTATCGTATTTCATGATTCGTTAAATTTTCGCATACGCCAAAAAATACGCAAGACATTGCTAGACCCACCTCCCGTCGCGTCCTACTCCACCGTCCACCGTCGCCCACCGTCGCTCTGCTGCTGGCGGGCAAAGAAAATCCAAACTGAAAAACAGGTTTTCCCCTAGCAACCATTGTGATGTCTACCTACAATGACGCTGACGCTGGAGACGGGCTGGAAAACTGCCAGACGAGCTGGCTATTCCCTTCCCCTTCCCCTTCCCGCTGTTCCGCTCCACTCACTGCTCTATTCGCATGTGGCAGTAATAATTCCAATGACAATAAACGTTGTCGTATTTACAAGTACCAACACACTCGCACCCACACACATGCACACACACGCACACATACACACTAGCACACTGACATGAATTGATGAGAAAAGTTTTTGAGGAAATGTCAATAGAGTAGCAGAGACAAACTATGCGTCGATGTCGTAGAAGAGCGCTGTCAGATACAGTGGTAAAATGTGCAGAAGATACACAATAAATCTGATGCTCTAAGCACAGTGGGGTTGCCAGAGGCATCTGCCAGCCAGTTGACGGTTCCATGTTGCAGTTAGGGAGCCAATTAAATACCGAGTCAGTATTTAATAATAAAAAAAGTACTTCAGCATCGATCAAATTTTTGATTAACTTTCGCTTTTTATGGAGTTTCGCTGGCAAATGGGGAATACTTCAGAGTTATGTAAATAGCCGAGCTGCTGCTTTGATTTGATTTCCGCCCACTGTTCGGCATATTTGCCATTTATAAATATCATGAGTGGCAAAAGGTAAAAAGGCAAGAAAACAGATATTGTACGAGTAATTGGAAAAAGGGAGGAAAATTGCAGCAGCTGCACTGCACCGCACTGCACCACACTGCACTCAGCACTCCGGCGGAGCACTCACTCTCGCTCCATATTCAAAATTTATCTGCAAGATTGCACTCGATTGTTTTGTACTTGGCGGGAGGGGAGTGGGATTTTTCGTTTCGTTTTCTGTTGTGCTTGAAAATAAATTGCTTGGCTTTGGTTTTGCGTGCTATTTGTAAGGCTTTCCCTCCGTGCTGTGGCTCCATTTCGGGCTTTGATTTCGTGCGCACCGCTAAACCACAAAAGTCTTTTGTACTTCAAAGCGGCAGTTATCTCGTAATGTATCTGCATTTGTATCTGTATCTGTGTCTGTGTCTGTATCTCTATTTACGTGTGTGCTGGGCCAAGTGTGCTCATATCTAGGTGACTAGGAAATGGGCCTCAATTACATAGCTGAACATCAATCGTTGCTGATGCGCTGCCTGGGGGCTAAAATCAATATAAATTGGCAAGCCCTGATGATTATGCCAGGGGCAGATAGATTCGCCGACACGAATTAGTGGGCCAGGAAATTGATTCAAATGCTTAAATATCAATTGAAAACTATTTGTGTACGGCACGAAATCAAATGAAACTCTTGGCTCCTCATCTGCATTCCGGGCCAAATCGTTGTTTAGTCGAAAGTTAATGTTACTGGCGCCAAGCCTCTTCATAACGGAACCGTTGTTTATTTTGATTCACTTATCAGCCCAGGCATGCAAAAAGAACCACGTTTTCTGTGGAGCACCCACAACGAGTGCGAAGCACCTAGACGTTGTATTATTTGTTCTAGTAACTCCTTATCAAGTGATTAGATACGAAACACCTCCAGTGCAGCCAGCGTAGCAGAGAACTGTTTGTCGTGTGTCTACAGCGTATATTATGACCACAATTACATATTGGCTCTATCGACAACGGCTATCGCAGCTGTCGCAGCGTGTCGCTTTGTCTTATCTGGCGCTCTTCTATCTGATTCTGGTGTTAAGGAATTTGCGAGATAGGCTTCCTCGAAAGTACGCACTCTGATAGAACTGGTTGAAACCAATAAACAGTTCAGGCCAATTAATGTTATAAAGCAGATTATAGATCTCATAGGGAGAGTTCAACAAATCATATTGCAGTAATTAATTTATTTGAAGGAATCGACAAACAAACACTAAACATAATTAACATAAAACAAATAATTATCATAAATCTGTTCATAAATCATTCGACTCGAGCACTAATAAATCTTTAACGCAAACTACAGCTAGAACATTTTAGATGACATTACATTGCTGCTTAACCGAGTATATAGGTTTCTTGCTGTGGAATTTGAGAACATCTGCTCGTGCATACCCTCATTTCATATAGGTTCGGCAAACCGAATCATCGAGGCACCATGAACGAGTATTGCGCAGTTGGTTGGACTCTGGCGACTTGACTTACTTTTACTTTGTACAATGTTTTTGCTGCCTTATCGACTCAAAACTATGCGATGCCGACGCCGACGTCGCTGCCTGAAGATGGTATCAGCTGATTGGGCAGCCCGCTGCAGCGGGCCGCGGGCCGCCGTCTGCTCATTTCAAAGCGGCAGCTGCGGCATTGTTTACTAACAAACAAGCGGCAGCCGCCAAGCGCCGAAGGAGCTGCAGCTGCTGAGCCAGTATATCTCTGATTCGGGCTACTCTACAATGGGTGTGATTGCGAAACGCTGCGAGAGCGGCTGAGCTACTGAGGAGTCGCTATGAGGACGAACTGCTGGCCATCTGTGCATTTACGCTTTGATAAGAATTATTTTGTGTCGCCGTTTGCGTTCCGTGCCCACGGTGCGAGCGGCCGTTGCACAACGTCGGATTTCGTAAATCATTAACGGCATGCGGCATGTGCATATCAGGTAAACAGCGCGCCGCGCGCTTATCACATTTTGGTTAGCTTCGATTTCTAATGGAAAAATAGTCGAAATAGCTTCAGCCTATGGGTCCCCATCTCTGCCGGATCTGTCGGCTTAGACAGCATTTGGCAAGCTCAACGGCAGCCCTGCTCCACTGGGCGGTGGCGTTGCGGAACGTGATGTGGGCGGCTTGTTGCCGCCGTCGCTGTCGCTGTCGCTGTCATCGCCGCCGTTGCTGCCGTTGCTGCTGTCGCAGTCGCAGTCGACGTTGACTGCGTGCTCGATATCGCGATCGGCCTGATCAACGACGTTGTTGGGTCCATAGTCCAGCGACGCGGCCGTGTCGGAAGCCGCAGCCGCAACCGCAGCGCCCGCTAAGAAGTGCACCTTGTTCGAAGTCGTCGAATTGTTATTCTCGGCCAGCAGCTGGTGGTGTAGATGGCGGTGCCGATGGTGGCAGCCAGCGCAGTTGGTCGGCGCGCTCAAGTAGCCCAGAGCAACGGGACTGGCCGCGTGGGGTCGCACATGCAGCAGATCGCCCACATAAATAGCCGTGATCGTCGCATAGACGACGCCCAGTAAGGCGCCCGCCAGCACGTCCGACCAGTGGTGCCAGTAGTCGGCGACGCGGCTCAGCGAGACGTACCAGGCGGCCATGAGCAGCAGGAACTGGAGTATGTGGCGTATGACGCGCACGCTGCCCCGCCCCTGCCACACGCTGTGCACGTAGAAGGCCAGCAGGCACATGGAGTAGAAGCTGAGGCTGCTGTGCGCGCTGGGAAAGCTCACGTGGAGCTCGCGTATCTGCTGCGAGGAGAGGTTGCGGTTGCTGCAGTAGAACTGCTGCACGTACACGTCCGCATTGTGGGCATCCGCGCAGCTCGAGCCGTCGTGCAGCCGCGGCTGGCAGGCACTGTAGAAATGCGGACGCAGTCGCCCCACCACGTGCTTGGCCAGCTCCGTGGTCAGGAAGGTGGCGATGAAGCCGAAGCTGAACGTCGCCTGCGAGCGCCACAGATTGCGCAGGTATTTCCGCATGCGCAGGTGCCTGCAGCGGCGCATTATCTCCACCACGCTGATGAAGAGCATCGGCAGCAGCAGCATCATGACCAACAGCATGGGCACTGTGATGGTGCACTCGCGGTATGGGTAGCGCAGTGACAGGTCCGAGCAGAAGAAGCCGCGCTTGAACGTGCGCATGATTGCGTTGGTTCGGAACTAATTCGGAGTAGATTCGGAGTTAATTCGGAGTATGCTCTGGGTAAACTCGGAGCAGGTTAGGAGCTTATTGGAAATTACTTCAGAATTAATTAGGAGTCATTTAAAAGTTAATTCGGAGTTAATTCGGAGTTGATTCGGAGTAAATGTTGAACTAATTTCAAATCAATTATTATAAAGTTTTCCCATTTGGGATCTCTCATTAGTGCACCGCTATCGTAAGTATTTTATATTCGGAGTCACTCCGAATATGTGATGACTGTCTGTCCTATGGAACTGATTTTGACTGTTCGGCAAACAGCATCTATTTTGTTTTGAAATTGTTTATTGGCTGCCTTATCACTTAAGCACTCGCTGATCTACACAATCGGCATGCCTTATAGCATCGTCGGCTAAGAGCTTTAATCAACATAAATGTTCGCAAGAGCGACTCGTTGTTCATTCACTTTTTGGCACTTGGCAGTCACAAATTGCGTTTTCATTTATTTTCGTAGATTTATCAACTCGAGTTGCTTTCAAAACAGGCGTCACGATTTTCAGAGCTCGCGTCAAAAGCAATTTTCTATTGTTTCTGGGAAGCTGTGAAGCGGCCTTAATAGCTCGTCGGAATAGTTTTTCAAAGTATTAGCGCGCGCATTTTGTCGGAGTGGAAAATTAAATCAATTGGCCTGAAATGCCACTGTCAGTCGTTCGTCTCTGGCTTAGCTGTTTGCCTTTTCTTTTTTGTTTTGCCTGTGGGCTGTGGGTTTCCTGGGCAACAATCTCGTTGGCCGTGTTCGCTTCGTGGTCTAGCCGGAGCTACGCGACGACGCTGACGGTTTGCTTGGGCGACGAAATCTGACTGTGACTGTGACTGTGACTGCGCCTGCGACAGCGGCGATCGTGCTGTCGAGCAGCTCAGTCGCGCTGCTGCTGCTGCTGCTGCTACTGCTGCTGCTGCTATTAGCTCGTGGAGAACCCACTAAACCCACCGCAACTGCGGAGGAGGGTTCTTGTTGTTGTTCGCATTGGTTCGCATTGATATTGAATTTCAATGCTAAGTTTTCTTATCAATTTAGCTTCGTCGGCGGCGGGAGCGTCGCCTCGTCAGCGCTCTCGCCTCGACCAGTGGGACCAGTGCACTCGTATTTCTCGGCTTCGGTGCTGACGCTAATGAGGAAACTGTTGAATTGTTTTAAGGTTTGCTTTTGCAATGTTTGCTTAGGCCTGTTTGCCAGCGTCTTGGCATTTGTGCATAATGAAAGAGTTGCATTTACCCGATGAATACCTGCAAGATGAAGGAGTGCCTCCGCTCGAGCAGAGTCTGCGGCAGCAGCTGACGACTCCCATGCCCTGCCTCCCTTTCCAGCAGTAGGTCAGCGCAACGTGCCTGAGTTGGCTGCTGGGCTCTGCTCGGATCGCTTGCTGCGTGTCTTATAGCGATTGTTGATGTAGGTCGTCGCACGGGCCGTGAGCTATGCGCGGATATGGAGACGACGACGACGACGACGCCGACGACGACGACGACTACGACGACGGCGAGACCCACTTGGACAAGTACTCCGAATGCTGCTGGGGCAGGCATGTTGCTCTGCAAATGCTGCCCATAAACTGCAGCGACTTTATGGCCACTTTGTAGTCTTACAGCGCATATAGCTTCTTTATGGCAATTTTCAACCTCTCAATTTACATAGAAATTGTCGCGGTTGGCCATTCGCTGTTAATTTATGCTAATTTCCGAATAAAGCGAAGTTGCAAATCTGTTGGCTTGCGACTCCGCGAGAGACATGTGAATCATTGCAAGTGGATTTAACGATCATATTTCATCTGTATCGAATCGAGGCGAAAGGGTTCAGCAGACAATGTTTTCCTACCAATGTTTAGCCTACCTCTGTATACCTTTTTGATGGTAATATAGGTTACTCAGGATTAGAGACTGGAAACCCAAAGACTTATCCCTGAAGGTAGTTTTTTTTTATACCAGCTTAATATTATATCTTATGGAGAGCCATTTGTTCTCTCTTTTCATTTGCAGCCTTGATCCATAATTTAACAGAAAGCATCGATTGTATAGCTCGTGAATGCATTCACGAATTTATCATTCTTAAATTCGCACAATGCCAAATTCCAATTGCAAAATAAAATTGAATGAATTATTTACATGGGACATAAGTAAAAAACGGTTTAAGTCTTTGTAACTTAACTCTACACAGTTTTTATTTTTATGTTATTTTTGCACTCATTGTAAGCCGATATCATTGGATTGGATTAAGCACAACGATAGCACACAGCCACATCGCAATAAAATACGCCCCACTTCCAGGGCCGAGTAATCCGCAAGCCGCAGATCCACAACCCATAGCCGTATCAGTGAGAAACCGCAGCACGCGCCACAAAAAGCGATCAATGCTGACCTGAGGGAGATAGGCGCTGGAGAGATGGGGAAGACAGGAGGGTGGCAGGAGGGAGGCAGGTAGGGGCGTTTGTAGAAAGAGCACAAAGCAAAAAGAAAAACGAAAAGGAACAAAATTCAACTGGATCAGCGAATTCGCAATGTCGCTGCAGTAATACAAACGAATAACAAATAAATATTAATTCAAATTAATTTTTTGCGCAATTCATCAATCGCGCTGAGGCAGCGATTACCCAACGCGACATCGATAAGCGAAAGTGCTCTGTCTGGGCCTGGGTCTGGCTCTGGCTCTGGCTCTGGCTCTGAGCATAACAGAGCATGCGAAATTAAACTACTAAATTCAGTAGCCATTGAAACGTCAACAATCCGAACTGGTTTCAGACAAAGATCGACAGTCGATTCAAGTTCAGGCCCCATTTCTGTTGGCTCATCAATCTGTAAATCAGTTTTTATATTCGTTCGCTTGGGGTGCAGAATACACTCTTCTTCCGGCCTGCTGCCCGTCCCTCTGTCTATATGTATTACTGTAAATGTTTACACACTACTATGACTTTTAATGATAGTCAAGCTGCCGTCTCAAAAATTTAAATGTATATTCACGAGGTCAATGTTCACATCTATTCATCAAAATTATATAGCTACGGTCATCTCTCACATGATCTCCAACTATGTAAATGACCTCCCAAACAAATAGATATAGATTGTCCACCCATTGGTATATTACTAGCCCTCAAATATAGATATTAGTATCTGTTTCAACTAATAATTATTATAGACAACATGGAGTAACTGAGATTTGCCTGGCTAAGATTCTCTATAATTGTAACTTGTGCATCGATTTTGCATTCCGGTTATATGAAAATGAGAAAGTGTAGGGGAGTGAGCGAGTGAGCAAGTGACAACATGCCGCGCATTCCAATGCCCCCAGGTTCAAGAGGTGTGGCTGATTAGCCCAAGGTGTAAGAATGCGATAACGATCGCGTAGGCAATCGCAGCCGAGCCCCAGCAGCCGCCCACTGAGCCCCGCGGAGGGCGCGACAAGTGCCAATTGTTTGCATCGTGACAATATTTGGTTTTTACTTTTCTCAGGGCTAATTGTTATTTCGCGGCTTGTTTGCTTGTGTGCACTTATTGTTGGCTTAGCCAATTCCCCCAGGCAGCAGGTGCCGCCTGTCTGACAGCCAGGTGGGCCGAAGCGAACTGAGACTGAAGAGAGTTGCTGATAAGAACGAATCGATTCGATAAGAGCCATTTCGCAAGAGCGAAACTTGCATTAGCCCGAAAAATATGAGTAATAAGCTGAGAGGGTAAAGTATTTTATATAAATATTATTCAGGGAGTGCAGCAAACCTTATGGTCGAATAAATATACATATATAATAAATAAATATATATAAAATATTGAACTATGTCCTATGGAAGTAATCAACATAGTCTCCTACGAGAGTAAACACCCTGCGGACAGAGCAATTGAAGATCCGAATTGAGAATCAATTGACTTTAATTCTTTGCACGTGCAATGCACCCACGAAAGCAAAGGCTCCTCAGCCCACTTATGAGAATATCAGCAACGGCCTAGAGTGTGCACTTTATATAATCCATAAACAATTAGTCACTTAAACAAAAGGAAGTTGTGGAATTATGAGTGCGATGATTAATTAATTCCAGTAACGGAAGCATTAATAACAATTTATAAATAGCGAATATACAGCCTTTATTCTTTCATCGAACGGGTAGCATAAATTATAGAGAATCGGATTCGCAAAACACACAAAAGTCACACACAGAGCCCAAATGCTTAAGCAAGCAGTCAGGATGATCAGCATTATAGGCAGTAAACAGCGATGCTGCTTTGCACAAACTCAATTAACAGAATGTATAAATTAACACTTAAATACGAAAAAAACAGTTAATACAGGCAGACTTCATATAAATATCATAAATATATTTGGACAGCAATTTAACAAGCTAACGAGCCGCAGACGCCGACAGCTGCGAATTAAGTTAGTTGCAAAAGCTGGGAGTATTCGTTGAGGGGAACCCGTTTGAGCTCAAAGCTCTGCTTCATTGAGCTTTGCGAGCTGAGCTTTCGAGCGTCATTGAGCGTCAGCTGTGAGGCCTGAATGAAGAATGCGAGTGACGTCAGACGCCAGAGTCTTCTCGCACAGGTACGCAGGTGGGGACTAGCAGCCTGGGACGTTGCACATCGGGGCAGAGCTGCGCTGCTAGTGACTCATGGCCAATGCCAGAGAGAAATTCCCAAGGCATACTCATTGGCGAATCAGTCCAAGCAGCAATTAGCCTCCGTCCCGCCCGCAGCGCCGTAACACTTCAGTGGCTCATGGAACGGAGCATCGCGGCGCGGTTCCACTTCATATCCACTCGCGAATTATGCACACGCATCAGAAGTGAAGTTGCAGCCACAGAGAACCACAAGGGGCAGGACCTCCCCCCGCACCTCGACAGCCGTGGCCAGGCATATGGGCGAGTGTATATAGTAAACAAGTTTTCTTTTGAGTGGTGCTAAAAATTTCTTTGGCCGCAAGTGAAACCAGTTTCTCCACGTCGATGCTGTGTGGAGCCCAGTTCGGAAGAAATTCGATGGTAAATGCTACGAGTCGATCTGCAGCTAATTTGCATAAAGATTCCTAGTCACTCTTTGGGGTCAGATTTGTCAGCTTGAAGGGCTGCCCCACTTTCTGGCGCTGGGCAGCCCCGGCACTGTGGTGTTGGGCTCCAATTAAAATCCATTGTGAGCCGCAGTCTTGATTTTCATTTCAATGAAAATGTACGATATAATTTTTAATTATTTATGGCTTGTTGATAGGCTGACTTACCCGTTACCAGGCAACAGCTGAGCCACTTGCCAAGTGGGCGGGGCGGTGTGCGAATGTAGCACGCGTAGAGCGGCAGCACTTGCAGTCTCATGTGACTGACAGACCGCAAAGAGCTGCCACAGCAGTCATTGAGAACAGATAGAAACAGAGAGAGAGAGAGAGAGAGAGAGCAACAGAGAGGAGAAAATCACGGCCAAGTCGGGCCCAGACCAGCCAGACAAGACACTCAAGCAGCGTCGCTCGGTTAGTAAAGCGCGGTTTGGCGTTCGGTTGAGACCTCTGCTAACGCATCTTCAGCTCGGAGTCGCTCGATCGCCATGTCCAAGTACACGAAGCTGGTCCGCGGCATTTGCGATCTGCTGTTGTGGGTCGCCCTGGTGGGCGGCATCGTGGCGCTGGTGAAGCTGGTGAAGCCCTTCAAGCGCGGCTTCTTCTGCGGCGATGAGTCACTGGGCTATCCCCTGAAGGAGGCCACGATTGGGGTGGCCTTGCTCATCGCCGTGGCTCTGGCCGTGCCCACGTGCGTGATCATCGTTGTGGAGCTGTTCAAGCAGCTGCCGGGCCGGGAGGCGGGCGCCCGGGAGAAGCGCGACGGCTGCCGACTGCTGCACCGCATGGGGCAGCTGTACAAGCAGGCTGGCTACTATCTCTTCGGCCTGGCCATGCTGGCGTTCACCACGCTGCTCAGCAAGCTGTGCATCGGGCGCCTGCGACCGCACTTTTACGCCGTCTGCCAGCCGGTGCTGCCCGACGGCTCCAGCTGCAGCGACGCCCAGAACGTGGGGCGCTACATCGACAGTTACACCTGCAGCAATCCCAACATGACGGACTTTCACTTTGATCAGCTGAATCAGTCGTTCCCCAGCGCCCACGCCAGCCTCATGATGTACTCGATGCTCTACCTGGCAATCTACCTGCAGGCGGCGCTCAGCACGCGCATCTCCAAGCTGATGAAGCACCTGCTGCAGTTCCTCTTCGTGATGTTCGGCTGGTACGTGTCGCTGACCAGGATCACCGACTACTGGCACCACTGGTCCGACGTGCTGGCCGGCGCCCTGTTCGGCGTGCTATTCGCCTGGCTGACCAGCGTCTATGTGGCCGATCTGTTTGCGTTCAAGCGCTGGGGTCGCGCTGGCTACTCGGCCAACACGCTGAGGAAGGGCCAGGTGTCGCCCAAGAGCTCCACCAAGTCGCAGTCGAATGCCGCCGCAGTGGCCGCTGCTGCTGCTGTGCCGCCAGCTCTGCCCGCCTACACCTTTGGCACGCTGCCCTACCTGGCGGCGCATCCTGCCCAAGCGCAATATGCCCAGCCGTACCACAACTACGGATACGTGCCCTAATCCCAATCAGCATCTGCGGCATCGCAAGCGAGGCAGGTGCTCCACGAACCCATTTGTGCCTCCCAGCCGAACCAGTAGAAGCAGTAGAAGCAATAGAAGTAGAAGTAGAAGAATAGTCTCTCACAAATCTGTTTTGTTTTTTATATTTAGCATAATAAAATTCGATATTAATAGCATAATGGAGCGGAATGTTTCACTTGAAAGAAAGTTGATAATGATTCAAATGAATTCGGCAATGAGCTGTTGATCGATCTGCGCCTCGAGTTAAATTAGAAAGCAAAGACCGAACGCAGCTTTACTCAAAGTCAGCTGAGTGGAACGCCTCGCTGAGGAGTGGAGTGGAGTGGAGTGGAGCGGAGTGGATGAGCACGCAATGCAAATATCGATGCAGCTGAAGGATTTCTACTGAAATATGTCTTGCCAATGTGCAGCTGGGGTGCCAGACTCTCTTGGCTATTCGATTTCAATTTGAGGCTCAGAGCCGGCGACTGCTTAAATCGTGTTTTAGAATGTTCTGTATAGTTTTACAGTTAGTTTTGCTTTTGTCAGGCAGGTTGAATCGAGCAGAGGTCTGAATGGCGCCATAGATTCTCGGGAGCAGCGGAAAGTCAACAAAGCCCATTTCAATAGCCAAAATTAGATATTGCCAAGCGCGCCACAGCCGGTCGAGAGACGAGGAATAAATTAATAAAGATTTGCATACTTGAGCAATCGATAAGCAGCATGGGAATGCGACAGCCCGACTCGGACTGGGCTGTGCATTGTTACCAAGTTTTGAGCAGTGAACAGCCCGACACAAAGAACGTGGCCAGCTCGGTGGCTGGGGGCTCTGAAACAAGTTTTGCCTGGTGGCAGCTAGAGCGGCCCTCGTAACTGCGATAGACATGTAAATTAGCCACGAGCCCAGCTGCAAGACACGGCGACCTCACCGCCAGCCAGCCAAGCAGCCAGCCAGTGAAGCGGCCAAGCAGCTAGTGTCAAAATGTGCGGCAATCCCAACACGCGACTGCTCTCGCGGCTCATCATCGACTTTCTGCTCCTCCTGGCCGTCTACGGCGCGGCGCTGGTGGTGCTGCCCCAGCAGCTGACGACGGCTCAGCGCGGCTTCCACTGCAGCGACGCCAGCCTGCGCTATCCGTACCACCAGCCCTGGCTGACCAAGGCCCACCTGACCTTGGAGGTGGTGGCGTTGCCAGCGGCCTTCATCTTGGTGGTGGAGATACTGCGGGCTGCTCTCCTGCCCAGCTCCGTGGAGCTGCGGCAGCGGTTTGTGTTCGTCGGGGCGCGCATTCCCAGCTTCATCAGCGAGTGCTACAAGGTCATCGGCGTCTACCTGTTCGGCCTGGGCCTCACGCTCCTGGTGATTAGAGTGACCAAGTTTTCCACTGGCCGGCTGCGTCCGTACTTCTTCGACGTGTGCCAGCCCAGCTGGGTCGACGAGGAGGAGGAGAGCAGGCAGAGCTGCGGCTCGCAGTCCTCAAGCAACGCCACTCGCTACATCGAGCTCTTCAGCTGCACCGAGTTCGCTGCCTCGCAGGAGCTGCTCGCGCTGGTGCGCCACTCGTTCCCCAGCGGCTTTGCGACCAGCACTAGCTACGCCATGGTCTTCCTCATCTACTACATGCAGGCCCGACTCTTTGCGCCCTGGCTGAGGGTGCTGCGCGCCACGCTGCAGCTGGCCTGCGCGGCGATGGCGCTGCTGGTGTGCCTGGAGCGCCTCTCCACCTACCAGAATCATCTGTCGGATGTAGTGGCCGGCCTGGCAGTGGGCTTCAGTCTGGCCTCGTTCGTGGTCATCTTTGTGGCCCACCTGTTCAGGGAGGTGCGAGTCAAGCGCCGCCAGTGGCCTCGCAACGAACAGATCTACGGCTACGCGGGCTACTACAATCGCGCCACATACGGATACTGAATGATTAATAAAAGAAAAAACCCATTCGTAAACTTACTGTCTTTTCGCTCTGTTTTAGCCGAGTGAGCAACCCGTAGCCCAGTTCAGAACCAATCTAACCCATCAACGACAAGCTTACGATCCACACAGCAAGTGAAATACCCCCGATCGCAGTCCACACTTAAGTTTGCTCTCTCTGCACAGCAAACCCTCTCTCGCTCCCTCTCTCTTTATCACTCTCTGCTTTGCAACGCTCCATCAACGAAAGAAAAAGCAACAAGTGGCAAAGCGATTTGTTTACCAATTCAACAAGAGCGAGCGCACGCATTTGTTTTCGATCAGTTCCGATCGGCGAGCGGCGCTTGGAAGTCTCATTCGGATCGATGCAGTGGCAGCAGTCGTAAAGCCAATAAAAGATCGCAAAGCTGGATATTGCGGACAATGTGAGCCATAAATAGAAATGAGTGCTACTAATAGAAGTTATAAAACAGGCCTCAGCCAAGCAATGCAAGTGAGTAGCAACGGGGGGTGGAGCAATCATCACTTTTTTCATTGTTTATTATCGTGAAGTGCATCATCAGCTAAATTGATTTTGGCTTTAAAGCCTTTGCATCCATTCGCAGTGCTGTTCACTCGATTTCAAGTATGCAGAAAATAAAAATAAAAAACAAATAATAATAATAATGCATTTAACGGGCAGAGTTCAAAGTGCATTTTAAAATGCCAGCAGTTGACCCGCACAAACAGGGGCAGAATGAAAATGAAAATGGAAAAAATAAGCGCCAGTTGCTGCATTCGAGTTACACTTACATATGCTAAAAAACAACAACAACAAAAGCTACAAAAAGTGAAGCATACAGAGACGAGAGCCTTAATTCAATCAAATGTCGCTTATTCATTCAATTAAAGGTCGCGCCATTTGACGTCCCACAACGACTACAAATACGGAATTCGAATACGAATACGAATACGAATACGACTATGAATATGAATACGAATATGAGTGCGAGCAGCCACTTGGCGGGTGGGTGGAGTCACTGCATACATATATCAGAGTATGCTTTTTATAATGGTTGACAGAGCGCATATTGAAAAGGGTATATTAGTGCCTCAGTCTGCCTGGCACTACAGTGCATATAGATCGTATTGCTCATGGTGCCGAATAAACTTCAGTTCTGCAATGACGCAATCGGCTATAATCCGCAGCCATAAGCTTTTGCCAAAATTACAGATAACTGCTAGACATATTTAGCCAAAAGTCACACTAAGCTCTTTTTTAAGCGTATCACGGTGATATCTGTAATCACTCTGAGTTTATCTAAATCTACATGTTGTTTTGTTTATGCGTATGAGCGAGTATTGCGCAGTCTGCTGCAGCCGACTGCACAGCTCAAATGGAGTTGCTTTAATGCAATTAACTGTTCAACTTTGTGCATGCAAAGTGCATGTCGCATTCGCTTTTGGGGACAGCACTCGACCCTCAGTCCTCAGTCCTCAGCCCACTCGAGATTGGCCAGACGGCGTTTACGAGCGCGGAGCTCGGCCAAAGATCAGAGCGCACAATGGGGCCCATTCTTGCTCTTGGAGCTGGAGGCGCAACAGATTAGCGTGTTCGCATTGCACTCTTAGCTGCCGCCTCATAGATGATAGTGCGAATCTCAATCGAGTGCGTGCAACGCGCCAATTGAATGCTTCACTGGCTCCAAACAATAGGCGACTACTTAGCGAGTCATGAGCAGAGCGAGTGAGTCACCCCGCGGGGGCAGCTCTTGACCCGCAATGTGCGCTTCATGGCAGGTGAAAGCGATAAACGCTGCAAGCGGCAGCGACTGTTTGCCAGTCAGTTTATCACTCAAATGAGCTGAGCATCAATGAATTGGCACAAAACCCAGCCCAGGTGACGAATACGGCGCTTTAGTGAGGGTCTGTTATCTGGAACACGCTTTTATTTATCTTATCAAAATGATCTTGAGCGGCTCTCTACTTGCGCTTATCAAGTGCCACGAAATTGCTACACTGAGCAAAATTGCCTTGTACGCACGCGATTCTTAGATAGCTCTAGTTTTCGATTCTAATTGGGTCTAATTTATCAATACTGCTCTTCTTTCAGTGCACGCCCACCGACTGCGAATACAATGCGAATTGCTTGTAGTCTAATCTGGAACTAAGCTAACTGCAAGCATAGTAAAATACAACTGGGAGAGAAAGAGAGAGATAAGTGGAGAGACCTTAAAAAACAATATGCGATGAGAGGAGCTCCGTCGCGCATGAAATGATCGTTAAATTAAAAGAACGTTACCCACTCGAGGCCAGCTCAGTCCGCCGCTGACAACGAACCCGCAACGACGCCAACGAATTCGTCGGGTATAAAAAACTACAAAAATAATAACAAAACCAACGAACCCAAACTTAATTAGACAGCATAAAAATTGGAATATTAACTAATTAAAAACGCATTGAGACCAGCGAGAAGCGGAAAAATGCGCGACGCCGACAACGAAAATAGCACAGCCGCCTCCGCCTCTGCCTCCGCCGCAGCAGCCGACGGCCAGACGGACAGGGAACTGAGACGAGCCTCTGCCGCCCAGCGCCAAACACTGCGCCGCCTGCTCATCGAGCTGTTCGTCATCGTGGTGCTGACGATACCCATCTGCATCTACGAGTTCGCCGTGGAGCCGGAGCGGCGCGGCTTCTTCTGCGACGACGAGAGCATACGGTACCCCTTCCGGGATAACACCGTGACGCCCCTGCTGCTGGGTCTGCTGACTGGCGCCCTGCCGTTCCTCGTCTTTGCGGTAGTCGAGTACGTGGACTCGATGCGCGCCGGCGAGCTGTCATCGACAGTGGAGCTGCTCGGCTGGCAGCTGTCCGCCTGGTGCGTGGAGCTAGGCCGGCAGCTGACCTACTTCATGTTCGGCATGCTGCTGACCTTCGACGCCACCGAGGTGGGCAAGTACACGATTGGGCGCCTGCGACCGCATTTCATGGCTGTGTGCCAGCCGCAGCTGAGCGACGGCAGCCTCTGCAGCGATCCGATCAATCTGCATCGCTACGTGGAGAACTACGAGTGCGCCGCAGAGGGCTTCACCGTAGCGGACGTCCGGCAGGCGCGCCTCAGCTTTCCCAGCGGCCACTCCAGCATAGCCTTCTACGCGCTCCTCTACACGGCCCTCTATCTGCAGCGCAAGCTGAGCTGGCGCAGCTCCAAGCTCGTGCGCCACTTCCTGCAGTTCCTGCTCGTCATGTTGGCGTGGTACACTGCGCTCAGCCGCGTCATGGACAGCTGGCATCATTGGTCCGATGTGCTGACCGGCTCGCTGCTGGGCGTGGCAGGAGCCCTGATCACCGCCCGCTACATAGCCAAGCTGTTCCAGTCGCCCTTCCACGCCGTCAGCCTGGGCGTCGGCCTGAGACGGGAGGACACCTCGGCCACGCTGCAGGAGGTCTGCCCCAGCACCCCGCCTCCCTACTGTGTCAACAGCAGCTACAGCGATGACCAGTATTGTACCAAAGTATAGCCGGATCGCCCTTCGGAGAGATTCGCCAAAGTGCAAATTTGTAATGAAACATTCCAAATCAAATAAAATACAGCCTGAACGAAGAACAGTTTGTGAATCAGAGTTGACAGAGTTGCTGGAAGATATAAATAAGTTAGCCTGTAGTCCATGTGTATTTTGTAGTACTCTAATTAACGCATAAGTCCATTGTAGTCCAGTACCAAATCGTTCAAATGCATTTGTAACATTTACTCATTCCACGTATTCATAAGATTCATTCAAATATCGACATATCGCATATTTATATATTTATTTGAGTTGGGCACCTAATACAAAATATAATTTGCATTCAGCCTCACAACTTATGCATAGTTTCATGATAAACTGTTGTACTCATATTGTAATACGTTTGCCCGTACACCCATCAATAAATTCGTTCGATTTAAAAGTACGTGAATAATAAGCTATATACTTGCATTCCATGAATATTATCGATAAGCGCCTATTTCTCCTAATTAACAACTTATGATGGCAAATTCAGAAACATTCACAAATGTATACAGGGAATTTACATACATGGAATACATACATATGTACAGCTGTTTATTCATACTTATTTATATCATTTGTATTTGTATTTGTATGTATAGATATTTATGCCTCACTCATGAATTTGAAAATATGTTTGCAAACCTTTTATAAATCCTTTTTAATGAGGGTGCCAAAAAAACACAACAGATTCGAATGATGATGAGTAATATTCGAGGCTTACGCTTCGCTGAATTGAAATTCAAATTTCAAATTTAATTCTCATATGAGGTGCTCAGCGCATTCACAAACTGTGAAATTCCCTTGTGTTTCATGTTTACCTATATTTGTAATCAATTTATCTACAAATTTCACCTTGTTTCATCAAAATAGCCTAATTGTTTTATTGTTGCTATTGTAAATAATTGTTTATCTATGTGACTCACAAAGTATACCCTCTAACTGTGTCACATCTATGCTAGAGTAGTCGACTGTGGAATTTGTTGGTTGATGCTGAAGGAGAAGAGTGAATTTCGGAATTCGGTAAGCAATCATATATGTATACTATAGACACAGGGTGTATTGATTACAGGGTATTGTATGCACGACTACATTGATAGCTCAATATTTATGCTGCGTCATCTACACGTCGCGCGAATGAAGGGACTGGCATAGATGATAAACTTTATCTTCATTGGGTCTTTGCTTGAATGATCGTGGGAATCGCGTGCCTCGGTCGGGCAGCAGCTCTGCTCATCTCAAATTTGGGCATGATGACTCAAGTGCTTCAGATACTTCCAACTGGATTCGCATAAGAATGCAGTATTAGAGCAGCTTTGCATGAAAGCTCAACAGAAATCCACATTCGTTTTGCCAATAATATTTTGATTATAATGTTTTTAAAAACAAGCTCATGCCAAATACATTTGAACTCTGAAGGCCGGACAAAGGCTAAAATTAAAAATATTATACAACTAGTAGAATCCCCGAGACGCAACACGTGCGCGAGTGCATGCGATGCTTATCTGTCAAGGCCAATAACTTGGGGAACTAATTTAGAGGCACTGATAACACAGAATTCATATTTAATCATTACGGAATGAGCAGCACTTAGAAATCTTAATACACTCAAAATATAAAACTCGCTGCTGATGCCGGTCGATAATGTATTTAGTGAAAGATATTTCGCTCTTTCTGTGAAATAAGTGTAGCACCTTTAACTATAGTTAAATAAGATTATAGGGCTAAGGCCTTGGCTCATTCCTCATTCTCACGCTAGAATTAAACATACTTTGCCGACTCACTTTTAAATGTCATCGATAGATGAATCACAGCTGCTTTAGGGAGCTGCCTTTTTTAGATAATCTGATAAGTCTTATAGACAACCCGACTATTTTCAAAGAAATAATTGTATGGTGCAAAAGATCTTTCCAGTACATCAAATGAAAACTGTCAATGGGAGCAGAAATGAGATTATAGACTAGCGACATAAGTAGACCTGCTTTAAATTATATTATAAAGATAAAATGATGTACAGTGTGGATCCACCACAACAATGAGACTAGATGTTCTAGTTTTGTTGAAAGTTAAAAGTTGAAGGTCTGCCACAGGCAGAAGGAGACATGGCAGACCCAACAAAGTGTATATATTCTTGATCAGGGCGACGATTTAGCCCTGTCCGTCTGTCTCCCGATATTTTGTTATCGAATAAAAACCTTAATCGAAAATTTGTTATTTAATTATACCTCATACACCTTTACAGCTCGAGTCTCCAAATTTTAACATGTCGACTCATATGTATTTTTATAGAATTTCAGTTTTTGCTGTACATAATTTACTATTGTAAATTCCAATTCACGTGGAACAATTTATTTTATTAACTTTATATGCCGCCAGAATTTATATACCTAGAGCGAATAGCTTTAGCTGACTTCCCCTGAGCTGATCAAGTTGATAATAATAGAGGAATATTTTCGTATACAATCATCGGTGCACTACGTATGTGTGTAAGAGTATTCAATCTTTGCCAGCTTGTAGTAATAAACTTTCCGTAGTGTTATATATAATTCAGCGGTAATCAGCAGAGATTGAGTCGTCAAAGAGGCTTGACTTTATTATGTTAAAGTCTTAATCTGAGGTCTAACGTCGCGCCTGGGTGCTTGATGCGATCAGTGACGCGCGAGCTGCCTAACTGAACGAATCATGAGTTTCGATCTAGATCTCAGCCAGCTATTCCTTAAGCGCGGACATTTCCGCCTACTGCTGGACCTAGCGCTGCTTGGCTTGCTGCTCCTGCTGAGCACGTATTTCAAAGAGCTCTGGCCGCCAACGACACAACGAGGTTTCTTCTGCGATGACGAGTCACTAATGTATCCCTACCGGGAGAGTACGGTGTCCTCCTCCATGCTTCATTGCATTGGTATCTATTTGCCGATGATGGCTCTGCTGATCCTGGAGACCAGTCGAGCTTGGCAGGGGAGTCGCCAGTATTGGCGTGTGTACAACACCTTGCGCTGGTTCATTTTGGGCTATGCCGCGGAGTCACTGCTCAAGGACATGGGCAAGAATGTGATCGGAAGACTGCGTCCGCATTTCTTTGAGGTCTGTCGGCCGCAGCTGCCCGATAACGGCTACTGCACAGACGAAGTGCATCGGAGCGGCGGGGTCTACCACACAGTCTACAGATGCAACACGGATCTATCGGGGGCCACCGAGGAGATGCTCGCCGACACCCACGTCTCCTTTCCCAGTGGCCACTCCAGCATGGCATTCTACGGAATGGTCTTCATGGCTCTCCACTTGGAGCGCATCCGCTGGCCGCTGCCTGGCAGCTTGCTGCGTCCAGTGTGCCAGCTGTTCTGCGTCTTCCTGGCCTCATTTGTCGGCCTTAGTCGAGTCATGGATTACAAACACCACTGGTCGGATGTTCTGGCCGGCTCGCTGCTGGGCGCCGCCATTGCCTTTGCGGTTGTCCGGGCGGCAGGGCTGGAGGAGCGCCTGCGTCTAGCAAGCGACAGAGGGCAAAATGCAAATACGTTGCCAGCCAAGCCAGCTGCTCCTACTGCTGTTGCCATGACTGCCTCTGCTGGAGCCCCTGACGAAGTGGACCCCGGAGCGAAACAGCTGCCGCATGATTTGTGCCAAGTTACGTGCCACAGCTCTAATTAGTTTTAGTTGCGTTTTAGCCCTAGCTTGTTAAGATAACTGACAGTAAAGATGGTCAATTAAAAGTGCAATTTGTTGCTTTCTCTTATAAGATACAATGCGCATATAATGGGACTAGCTGATAAGGCGGGCGAGCGTCTGTCGGCTCCTTCCTGCTGCGCCACAGCTACTAATAATAGTCGGCATAATGTAGTCCCAGATTAAGTCAACTGTCGCATTCATGTCTCGCTTTCCGCGTTCTATTTGCTCTGGCATCTTCATGCGAGTCTGTTTACAAGATTCCGCAAGTATTTGCGTATAAACACTATAGGACTGTACAAATATTTTGAGCTCTGACGTCAGTCAGCAGTGGCTGGCAGAACCGACATTTTTTAGTAACAATATAAAATTTAGGGGTTTTCCTTAGATTGCTTACCGACGCCAATTCCGGAATTGTTTACATACCTGAAAAGATTACAAATATCATTAATAAATAGATTAATAAATAATAAACTATAAGGAGATAGATATTTTAATTAATTTATATTATATGGGGAATCCGTATGGCATATAATTGTGTATACGGCAGAGCTCAAGTTGAAGATGAATAAATTTGAAATACGAGTCAGTGAAAAGAACATTAGATCTATTTCTGTCTTCCGCTTTTTATTCAAGAGATATATACAGTGGAGATACGGTAATTCGAAATGACAAGGGAATCAATTTCTTATTTTATTTTATTCAAATAATCGAGAATTATCGAGACCGAATATTTTCTTAGGGGATAGAATTTGTTTTCGAATTACCGCGATTTTCGATTTCGAGGAGCTCAAATTATCGAGACTCGACTGTACTAAATCCAAGTATGCTCTCTGGCTAAAGAAGGTTAATCATAATTCTTTGAATAATTTAAAAATTGGCCAACATATATATTTTGAAGCCAGCATCGGTATATTCGAAGTGAGTCAAGTTCTTTAAGATAAATTTATTCTAAGAAGTTAAGCAGAATAGTTGAATATGCTTTCATTCCAGCTCATAGGCAACAAGAAACTAAAGAGCGTTCGATGTTATTCGTTCTGTTCGTGGCTCTAAGCCGAAGATAATTTAATGGGAGTAACTTGTCGCTTGAAGCAAATTGCATGCAATTAGCGAGCTCGGCAAATTCTACAAACCAAAACCCATTGAAAGCCACAGAAACAGAAACAGACGCAGACACAGACGAGTCGCGACGTTGACAACGGTGCAACAATTAGCGACTCTTTTAGTTTCATTAGAAACAAATTTTCAAATGAGTTAATCCCAGTCAACGCCATTAGCCCGCCCTTTCTAGTCAGGTCCAGTGCAGGAGGAGGCATGGGCGCATGGAAAAGGAATGGAAGGGACGGGCTAAGTCGCTAAGAGGAATACATAAATTTCAGCAGCAGGCGCATAAATTGGCACAACCGAGGGATTCAGCGGCCCAATCCGAGAAGCTGACGATGATGCGCAACACCTGAGCCCCAGATTCAGTATAGGTGCTCGAGTCTCGGACGATTAAGGGCTACCCTCATCAGGACACGGAGGCTCTTGCCAGCCATTTTCACTTGTGGCCCGCTTAATTGGCTCATTTATTTTGATGGCAAAGAATATGTTGGCAAAGTGTGGTTTTTTCATTCGCTCGGGCCTCGCTTTTACCTGGTCTGCTGCCGGCTCTGCTTTTATTATGATTAATTATGGCACAAGCGCACAATTACAGACACATCTACACCGCCAGAGAGATACGCAAACTGACCCCAAGCTTCGGTTTCTTGCCAAGTTTCGCAACTGTGTCAAGCTGCCGCTGCTGTTGTTGGCGTTGTTGTTTTTGTTGTCTGGCTCCCAGATTCGAATGATAAATTTCTATGCAATTTATTTTAATCTGCTGCGACAGAGGCCCCCCTCCTGCCGCGAAACTATCTTTGCAGCTAGTTTCCATGCGTTAATTAAATGGAAAATATTTGCACATAACAGCTGAGTTGGGAAGGGATGGGAAAGGAAGGGAAGCGGAAGACAGGAGGCAGAAGGCGGAAAGCGGTTACTTCTAAAGTTCTCCTGCAATCCAATGAACTGACCTATATTTTGCATTAGCGAAAGTTTTGTTTTCCACACAGCAACAACAACAAGCATTAACTGAGAAGGGCTTTCAGGCGACTTCTCAGCCTCCCTGTGGCCCGATGAAGCCACAAACTGCCTGCCTGAAGCAGCGAGAGAAGACAGAGAGAAGCACAGAGAACCTTCACTGAGAAAAAGTAGAGTTAAAGTACTTTTTAAAGACAGGTTGCTTACTACTTGATTTCCCTTCATATATATGCAGGACTGCCCATATTCGACGGTCCCGTCTGGCAGCCCTAACAGGCTGCTCATATCATTATACATATGTTTAATTTTTATATATTTTGATATCAAAGAAAAATACAATTCATTTTGATGTTGATGTCCGCTTTGAGGCAGTACGACGTATTGTGCCCGTCTCTCTCGAATGGTATACGGCTGCCAAATGGGTCCCTCCAATGGACAGCCTGTAGCCCCTCTTTATTTTTGTAACTCTTACATATCTGTTATGATCGGATCTGACTTCTCCACATATGATAAATTTGAAAACTGCCTCTAGGACTTTTAGCTATTTTACGGTCTATCAATACTATATCGTTCTACAGCTTAACAACTTATCTGGTCTACTTGTTTGTCCACTTGTACAGGCTCTACTTTGGTTCGTTATCGACTTGCTTTAAGCAACTCTTGCAGCACTTCAGCAGTGTCGGGACCATCAATCAGCAGCTCGCTTAGCTCACACTACAGATTTTGCAGCCCAACTTCCGCAAGTGCAACAAATTTAGCAGCAGCGCCGTCTCTGCACATCACAGTCAGGTGTGATAATGCGGCATGCGTACAGCTCCTGTCCGTTCCTCTCCAGTCTGTGTCCAGTCGAGTCAGTTTGTCACTCTGCCATATCAAGCATCGCCATCATAGCCTGCCACATATTTGCATGCCTCTTGCATGTCTGCTTTACAAAACATCCTGAAGCTATTCAGGGTGTGCTCTACCCTTCTAAAGCTCTAGAGTCAATGCCTGTTGCTTAGCACCGTTCTCAAGGAATACTCTACTGCTTTGATTTTATATGACCAATGAAAGATATTGCCAGCCCCATTACATCTAAGCGTTTCTCTTTTATTAATTATTTTACTTCTTTATTTCATTTCAAGTCTGTCGTATGAGTCCCTCAACTATGCCGCGCTTGAGCGATATTTGAAAGGGTATCTCATATCTGTGCTATGGCTTTACCGCATTCTGTTACCGTTGCTGTTGTTAATGATGTCATCGTCGCACCGAGCGCTTCATATTTCTGCGGTTGCCAGTTTGTCCATTGAATTTCCATGCGACTCGGGATGCCATCCTAACTTTACCACTTGCTATTTGCCATCAGTAGTCGTCTGTCCGCAGTCGGCAGTCGGTAGTCGAGCAGTCGCCAGTTGTTAGTTCTCGTTCTCAGTAATCTGCGCCCTCATTGGCTTCGTGTGTGCAAAGACAATTTGATAATCGCAAAATGCAGCACAGCTGCATAGTTTGAGTTAATGAAGCTTGTGTGCTGGGCATGCATCCTTGTGTGCCACCTTGGTGTCCTTGCGAAACATGCTCTGGCAGACCAGACGAGACCACACACACACACACACACACACACGCCATCGTGGTCGTTGCGTTGTTTGTTAGAAAACAAGCAGAGCGTTTTGCTTGCCAATTAGTAATTTGTTTGCCGCCTGGTTGACTTCAGGACGCGCATTCGAACGAAATAGAGAAACAGAGAGAGAGAGAAAGAGAGAGAGTGTACCTTAAACAGCTTCAAGTGTGGGCACAGGTACTGGCTGGTTCAATTTGGTTTCATTTGATGACAATTTCCGTGGCGAAGTTTAATTCGTAAAGTTTCGACGATTGTAACTCTGGGTATTCGCGATTATTAGCCACATTATATTGTTCAGGCTGGCTATTGTGTGAATCAGTTGCATTGAAAGATCGACTGCAATAACAGCTCAAGCCGTGCACATGCCGCTTGGCTTATCCCCCATTCATTTTCAATTTGTTTAAATTAATTTCAAGCGAGCTCTACTTGACAGATTACAGTGCATTTATCAGATGCTGTCTGGTCTGCTGCTGCAGCGAGCAGCGCTGCTCTGCTCCCATGCTGTTAACTAATTTAATTTTTATCGACTGACAAGACGAGCGAGTTCAATGTGACAATGCGATAGCTCAGCGGCAACAGCAACAACAACGGCAACAGAAACGGCAACGGCAACGTCAACAATGACACGGACTATAATAATGGACGATGTGCTGACCCCCCCCGTAGACATCGGCAGGGGCATGGCCGATGCAATCAGAGGGCGACAACGGGACGTCGGCGATCTTGGATGGAGCAGCCGGGCGGAAGACAAAGTCGGATTGCAATTTCAGCTTGGCATTGGCCCTTTGTAGTGCGGCCGCACGATATTCGAAGTCGCTTTGCGCCCTGCTGTCCAGAAATCACACGCAGCCTCGACACGTGACGTCGACAGCAAAAGCGTCAGCCATTTTGCGTTTTGTGTCGCTGCCACCATCATTATTAATACGGCCGGAATGGCACGGGACCAGCTGGACCGGCCCGGACAACAGATCCGGGTCTGGGTCTGGGTCCGGGTCTGGGTCTGGGTCCGGGTCCGGGTGTGCCATAACGATGCGAGCGACATTTGCTTCTGCACTAACTTCCGTTGCGTGGCGTTCGTGCTGTGATTTTTTCCACGCTGCCTCCTGCCATTCGCCTTGCAGGCATTCGCTTTGGCTTGGCTCGCTGGCAATTTTGATTGCTTGCCAGTCGGAGCAGCTCCTGTCCGGGCAGTCAAAATAGGTGTGGCCGTCAACTGGCAATCAACTTTCATTTAGCAGCATCATTTGTCACGCTTGTTTATTGCCCGGTTACGTGTTGGTCAGACTTAATGGCTGTTATTGTCGCCAGCATCTGCTCCTGCTGCCAGCTTCCTGGACGGACTGACTGCCTGTCTGTCTATCTGTCTCTCTGACGGACTCAAAGGCAGTGCAACGATTC